ACATTTAAGAGGTAAGGAATATGGAAAGCAATATGCGCAAAGTCCAATCCATCACAACATTGCAATGCATAGAAATCCAGCTCTGTGTGATTTCTTGAGGCTAAACTGTTATCACCTCTTCATCCTAACTCACCACCTCTATTAACTCTTATGCTAGAACAATAATTCATTCAGTGCATGAAGCAATCACATTCAATGATCCAGAACCAATGACCCAGTATATTTGAATGAAATTATACAATTAATGGAGAGGAACAAGGAATGAAGTAACAGTGAAGTAAGAATCCATGGGTCGAACTGGATAGCAATCAGAAAATATTTTGTTAATGGGATTGAAATGTGGTAAAATACATTTTCCTCTAGTTTTGGCTGAGCCATGTCAACATCTGTTATTTCCCCCAGAGAAATAGGAACAATCAACATCATTGAAAAGGACTCAATAAATAATGAAGGCTTCTGTCCACTTCTGCCATATTTTATTTTAAAAAAATTATAAGGGGACAAGAAAGCTCCAGAAGCATCCAGAAGCCACTCATTCTTGTGCTTGCTTAGAAACACAATCACCTCCATTCAGCTCCTCAGAACTCCCTTGAGTAGGCAGGACCTCAAAGGTCATCTCTTATAACTACCTCATGTTACAGATGACACAACTCATGCACAGAAAGAATAACTGACTTGCCCAACGTCACACAGTGAGTCACTGTCAAAGCTAGGGCATCAGCACCCAGTGTGGGGTTCCCTCCTCTCAGGAGTTATGTAACTGAAGCTTTTCTTGATATTATTTTATTCTATTAGCCTGGCATGAAACCTGATCATGTATGAGCTAGAAGAAATGAAAGCAAGATACTAGGATGACTGTTGTGTCTTTTAGTATTATGAATATGTTTCGGGGGGTGAGAGGAGATAGTGAAAAATTGATACAGCTCTTTGGTTACCGTAACTATATTTCTATTGTCTTTATAATATACAATGATGAACTAATCTACTAGCTGATAGTCCTTAAACTAAAGGTGAATTAGATTAAATCACTTTAAGATCCTTGGAAACATTTGCAACTCTGTGATCCTGGATCGAGTGTGGAATGAACCTTGGACTCTGAGTTCAGAAATATCTATTGAAATTCCAACTCAAACCCTGACAACCTTTCTGAATTACAGCTTCTTTATTCACATGAAAAGACTAATCATCCTTACCTGAGCCTCAGGTTTATGAGATCGTATATTTAGCAATAATTTATATTCTATACTGTTAGCATTAATATTAGCATATTATTACAAAAATCACAGGTACTGCATGGTATGTATATATGTACATGGATATACATATATATGGATGGATGCATGTATGTGTATATTCATATATTTCTGTTTTTCTCTCCATGCCCAATTTGATTCAACTGTAGCCTGTTATCTGGGGTGTACCGTACCTGCCCTAATTTTACTTCCTATGAATAGTCATCTCCTTCCCCTTCCTCCTGCACGCATCTGCCAAGGTTTACACACCCGACATTTCTGCATCGCACCTCCCAAGCCTATTGGCGGTTAAGGCTTAGGATTCTATTTTTCAGTGTTCTGTTTTGTGATTTGTGTTTCAGGTTAACTTTAAAAATAGGTTTTCTTTTGTTGTTTATTTTTCCCAGACCTGCCAGGATTGTCTGTAGGAAAATATCTGTGCATCTTTCCATTATAGGATTCAAATACCAATCCTAGATATAAAACCTGTGAATTAGAAGTCTTTGAACTGATGATAGAATCATCTATAAATGATTCTATAGTTTATAGATGAGGCAGGAAAAATCAGCTATAATCCTCTGGATATGTACAATGTTGAGCGTGAGCTAGGAGTTCGGATTTGATGAAGTGACATTTTCATGCTGGAGTATTAGCACTGAAAGTCAATGGAAACACTGGCAAACTTTGAAAAGGGGAAAGTTCCTCAAATAACTACCTGGAAAACTGTGGCGAAGAACCAATCTGGAGATGACTGGGAGTTAGGGAGCATACCGAATGAGTAAATTACTAGCTTTAGCAACAAAATCACCTTCTCCACATGGAGTGTGCTTTTTAAAAAAAATTAATGAAGCCCTTTGATTTGCTGAATCTCATTTCATCCTCACAACACTGCTAGGGAGATGAGTCAATTATGTATTTTTCTCATTTTACAAACAGGTATCTAAGGTTACCTGGATAGGGACTGGAAAAGTCTAGGTTGCTAGTTAAGAACTTTTTCTTAAACATAAATTTTATTTCCCAGGACTGAATATCAGTTGTTTCATTACTCTTTGATGTTCTCAGAGAACCGTATTTTAAAATCACCAAATCATTTCAGGATTCCACAAGTCAGAAGTTATATCTTCATTTACACAGTCTTACAACAATAACCACTGTCCCGGTGGACTCCTTAGCAGCTGGTCAAACCTCAGGTCCTTCTCCCTCGAGCCCTCTTTCTGGGAACCACTATATTTACAGTTTGCAAAGTGATCTATTTAAAAGGAGTTTGTCTCAATGACAAGGACTTACTCGGAAAGGGAGTCATTATTTTCACAACAGGAAGTCCAGAGGTGGAGCAGTCTTCAAGGCTGTGACTCAATGGCACAGGTCGCATCATCCTCAGGCAGGGCCACAGCATTTCCTGGCATTGAGCCAGAGGAGGAAAGGATCATCTTCAGGCATCCTCGAAGGAGAGAGACACCTATCCCAGAAGCCCATGACCGACACCCCATTAGCTATCACTAGTTCAGGTTGTTCCTGAGCTAATCACTGACAAGGGGAATAGTGTTGGCCTCACATCAGTCAGACTCAGTGGGTCAAGTCAGCTTCTCCAGAGGCACTGGGCTCTCAGAGGAGATGGATAGAGAACAAAACCAGCCTTCAGTTAGGAGGAGAGGAGAATACTGAGTAGGGAAACAATATCCTCACTAGAGGCCAACACATGGGCATATCTGCAGTGTGTGAAGAGGACCCACATTAAAGAACTCTCCAGTGGAAGTCCTAAGATTAGAAGATAGGATCTTCTTTATAAATTTACTTGGAATTGAAGCCAATACCTGACATTTTAGACTGACAATATAATGATTATGTTTCCATGGTTTTTAACTTGAATGACAGAAAATGATCATTTGGAAAGGATGCAAGAATTACAATAATAGCTTATTATTTTCAGCAATTATTCACCAAGTTCACTCAGTGCGCAAGTGCTACATGCTGGGTAGTGTTCTAGACATGGATATCCAACATAAATTCATCAATGTATGTGTTAGGGGGGTGGAAACAGATGTGCAAATTACTATAATGTCACATGTTTCTTCCTATCATATGCAAAGTAGAATGGGAGGACTGTCTAACACATTAGGTCTAGGCTAAGAAATGGCTATGTACATATATGATGAGAAATAATGAATAAATATAATAAATGCATGCACACTTTCATCTTAGCAGCAGTAGAATGGAGAATCTTTATTGTTGACCTGTTATGTAAAAGTGACTTCTACACCCTAAGTATTATGAACATTATATTCCAGCTGAAAAGTGGAACTGCGTAGACATGGATAGATAAATAGCATGGGCTCGTTTCCCAAGTGAAGCTCTGACAACACCAGTGGGACTGACAGCTAGCTAACCATAAGCTATACTTACTGAAGACATGGCAGAGACCTCTCTGTAAAGAATAATCTGATCATGTAAAATGGAATCAAAGCTTAGATAGCATTATTATTATAACCCCTTGTATTAACTACATAGACATTTTACAAATACAATCTTATTTAATCCTCAGAAAGCACCTGAGATAGGTATTGTATTATTATTATTATTATTATTATTATTATTATTATTACAATTTTACAGATGAGGAAACTGAAACTCAGGAGAGTATGCAATTTGCCCCAGGTATATAACTAACGACAGAGGAAAGAACTGAGTCCAGATTCTTTTTGTCTCCAAAGCCTTTACTTTTAATGATTCAACTAGTGTTTTCAAAATGTGGTCCATGCTCTATCAACATCAAATCATCTGAGATATTTATTAAAAATGCAAACTCTTTAAGCTCCACCCAGACCCACCAAGTCAGGATCTCTGAGATGGATCCAAGATTGTGCATTTTGCCTGGCTGGTGTGGCTCAGTGGTTGAGTGTTGGCCCATGGAACAGGAGGTCACAGTTCAATTCCTGGTGAGGGCACATGCCAGTGAGTGACAGAGGCAAGACCCAGTGGAATACTCCTGTGTTACTCCATTACATGTGATGAATGCTTATGTCTTCTAGTCTTTGCTTCCTCAACACAGTGCTAGTATTACTATAGCTGCTGTGTGCTCTCGAGGGCAGTAAACTTAGCACAGGCCCTAGTGCAGGGCCAGGCAATATTTCTCAGTTTGGGACCTCCTGGTAGCTTATAAGAAGATTTAGTTGGTTTTAGGTAACGTTGAATCACAAATGAAAAAAATAATTCCCTTATCAATTTTTAAAATCTTTTTACTTCAAAGAAAAACTCTCAGGATGGTATTAATATACCCTTAGTACCTCCATTTTTAAGAACTTGAGAGTGGGCAGTTTTGTTTTGTTATTGTATTTTTATTCCCATGAACACCTTCTCGTTATGGCAAATGATATAAGTTTTCCAAATATGATAGTGATATGAATTTTCCTTTTACAATATTAAGTGAAAACATTAAGTGAATAATAGTACAGATAGTATGATTAAAATTCACAAACCTGCTATCAGAATGATTAAAGTATGGGGAACTGATAAAATGGTTCACACCACAGACTTTGAAGTCAAACACTCTTGAGTTTCCAACACCAACTTCTAGATGTATAAGATTTGAGGTAGCTTATATATGTTTCAGTGATTCACTTTTACCATTTGCAAAATGGATATGTTAGTAGTGCCTACCCCTGGCTTGTTGTGAGGATTAATAAAAGAGTCATGGGCAAGCTCTTTCCATAATGCTCATCAACAAGTGCTAACTGCCATTTTATATACATTGGCAGCACCAACGTTACCTTGGCTGAGGAATGTTGATATATTTTATCTTCTAAGGTCACAGATGATAAAATCTAGGGAATATTAAAAAAATCATTTTATGTTATGCACTTACAAGCATCTGAAATAAAAACCACAGGCATTCACACAATGCTACCATCTCTACACCCCAAAACCTGAAACTTAAATTTCCTCAAAAAGTATTTTTAACCTTTATGGTTTCAACCTTATGATTTGTGGTCTTTGATCATTTTTAAAAATATTTTTAAAAGCTTTCAGTAATCTCATACTAAAATTTAGTATACAGGCAAAAATATAAGTAGTATAAGCAGTACTCTGATGTTGTCACCAATATAAATCACAGATATTTTCACATCATATTACTTGAAATATTTATATTCTTCACTACTTAGAAATTATGGTAGTTATTAGCATATTAAAGAAGCAGATGCATTACTAGATCACCAATTTAATATTTTGATAACTGCATTTCAATATAATTGCTTTCCTTATAATCCTATTCATTTTATGTTATGCACTTACAAGCATCTGAGACAAAAAACCACAGGCATTCCCACACCTCAACAGGTGTCCATAGCACACACAAAAGGTGTAAGAACCCTGCTCTATGGCCTTGTAGGAAATAGCCCTGGAGTCTGTTTGCATACCTCTGGGAGATTTCCCATCTCCAGAGATAATCCTTACATTTCAGAGTCCAGGTGGGTTTTTAAAACCCAAACAAAACATTCAACTTGATGGATGCAGAAACAAACCACTGTGTTACTCCAAGTTTCCAAAAATTATAAACTAACTCTGATACATGCCTTGCAAAACTATCTGTGTTACCAGCCAAGGAAAATATTGACATAGGTGGCAGAATTTCCAAGATTTAAATCACCCAGTAAATAAAGGTAGCAGAATTTCATTGTTTTATACGCTACTCTGTCTACAGGCCACTTTCTTATTCACTAAGTCAGAAGTAATGCCTCACTTGTCCCGCTGAAAAAAAGCATCGACTTTTAATCATTTTAATCAATCCATCCCCTCTGCACAAAACAAATAGCTAATTAATAAATCAAAATTTCATTTTTTTATTTTTTCAGCAAATGTTTTTGTCTCTTCAGAATTAGGAGGCAGTTATCGAATCCGTGACATAAAGAAACAGAGAAGTTAGATGTGCAGGTCTAAGACATTCTTGCTCCCGATATCATGCATTCTCTACATGCAGAACTGAGAATTATGGGAGTGGTAGGAAGACAGAGGAAGAGAAAGGGATGGGACAGGGGAGAGTAAAGGAAGGCTGATTTACTAATTTTGTATCTAACAAAATGTTTCCATATAATTTCAGAATTAAGGTTTGAGCTCAGAAAAACTGGTTAAAAGGCTGTCTGTCCTCCATCCACCCATTTTCCTACAGAGCTGGCAGTATATCCTTTCTAATGGAAGGATAAAACCATGACACTTTCAGATATAATAGCTTTCAGAGCTTTTGGGATAAAGTTTGGACTTAGATGTCCATCTTGATCTGGCTACTGCTTACTTTAGATGTGCTAGGGCTGGTTCCTATTGGCCTTTTAGAGTCAAGTATTAAATATCCAGGAGTTTTTGCATGGCTTTGTGGCTCAGTGGTTGAGTGTCAACCTATGAACCAAGTCACACTTCAATTCCCAGTCAGGGCACATGCCCGGGTTGTGGGCTCGATCCCCAGTGTGGGAGGCAGCCAATCAATGATTCTCCCTCATCATTGATGTTTCTATTTCTCCCTCCCTCTCCCTTTCTTTCTGAAATCAATAAAAAAAATTTAAAAACAATTTTTTTAAATAATTAAGTATGCAGGAGTTTTATGAGGCAGTTGACAAACTGTTGGTAGCTTGAATTAGGCCATGGTGGGAATATTCACACCACAGAAATTGGCAGATGTTACAAAGAAAGGCTTTTTCTTTTTTTAAGAACAGATTTATCAACACATCACTGTTCCATACCACACATTATTTAATCACACCCTCTCTCTTCTTTTCAGCTATACTGAATTACTTTATTTTCTCCAGTAGGTTATGCTATTCCTTTGCCTAGAACACTATTTTCCTTCTCCTCTATCCCTGGCTCTATTCCTATGAATCTTTCAGTTTTTATATTACTTTCTTACAGACATTCATTGCACTCTAACCCTCACTTCTGAAAGTCTGGGTGAGATGTCCCACCTATGACCTCCCAAGGACACCATGTTTTACATTCCTGAGATGATACTGTCATTGCCCTATATTGGCCAGACTATGTTACTTAACTACAAGTGACTCAGTGGCAGAAGCTCCTCTTAATTCTTTATTTTAATCCCATGTGTCTGATATCTAGAAAAGGCTCAATATTCAATATATGAGAGAGATGAGTGATTAGAATTAAGAAGGATTCAGGGGACAAAATCCTTGAAAAATAGGACTTCTAACTTACCTACATGCGGAGGTAGAACACCAGAAATTGAGAAAATCATTATCAACCTAGAAAAAAAAAACTTATGAAAAAAAAAAAAGACAAAACCAGGGTCTTAAGAGAGAGAGTTGTCAGTGCCTTTATGGTTTTAGCCCAAGGATGACAAATACTTGTCCAAATGACATCATGACCCATTACCAAGGGCATGAGAAGCTTCCCAATCCGATCCCTCTGCCCTTTTCTACTGAGCCCATGTGGCTCCTTCATGCCAGGGACATTGTCATCAATCAAAGCTGACATTTAAATTGAAACTCATTTGACAACTCAAAGGAGGTCATGAGACACTATGATTACTACCTTCCTCCCAGAAGCCTTTCTGCCCTACTTTCAAGTGTCTCACCAACTTGCTCCCTTTTAGTGTCAGGTTTGAAACTAAGACAAGTGAAGAGGAGAAGGAAGAGGAAGTGAGGAAGCTGTGTGGGAGGGGAAACTTAAAAAGAGGAGGTTAGGGAGAGCCATCTGTAATCTGTTCTCACATTCCACCTCCTCCCCTTTCCTTTGAGTCTCTTCTTTCTCCTTGCTAATTCTCTCAGTGATTATTCTCCCATTTGCACATCTCATTCCCAGCTTCTGATTCTTTGTTTAGCCCTGCCTGTTCACTCCAGGGCAGCTTCTCATTTCTTCTCCATTCCCTTGTCTGACCTCTCCATCTCCCTTTCTCCTCTGACATCCTCTTTATTTCTCAACTTCTCTTTTTCTCTTACATTTCTTCCTGCCTTTTAACAGGTTCCATGATCTCCCTCTCTCTTAATTTTCTTTTTATTTCTTCTGTCTCATTTTTATCCCTCTTTCAACTAGTTTCCAGAAGAATTACTTTTATCTTAATCACTATTTTCTTCTTTCCCTGGCCATACTTTTACTTATCTTTCAAGTTTCACCTTCTATCCCACTTCCTACCTGACATCCATCTCCTAACTTTCAACTTCCAAAACGACAGAAAATAATTTCTATAGAGTACATTTTTTCCTAATAGACCTTTCAATTAAATATTGAAATATTTAATCTAAAGGCAATAGATTAAAAAAATCATATCACATACATAGTAATGTAAACTTGCAAATTATTTTCCAGCTGGCTTTTTACATCTTGCATGTCTTCTAAAGGAGAAACTTCATCAAATGTAATTATCTTTAAATTAAAACCTAAAAGAAATGCAAAAAGTATTCTTGTCATTTCTTGAGAGTTTCATACATACACATTGCCCAATGCATTACTCAAGTTCCAAAGCCTTTGCTTTTCCTATCTAACCCTACACTTAAAGATTTCTGAAGATATTTGATGGGAAACATTGCTTTCAAATGAGCACAGACTAGTTACAGCATTTACATATTTACTGCCCTTTGAATGCATACCGGATGTCTGTAGGTCTCAGATGCAAAAATCATGCATGACCTCCTAGAGGCCTGAGAGTGGCTTCCTTAATGAATGTCTATGCTTCATCTCTCATTAGCTTAGAAATATAAAAATGTAATGGTGTTTCCTAAAAAGTGGAACACAAAGATGCTGATTTCCAGTGCAAGTTAAGTGTCACCAGGAGGAAGAGGCAGCCATAGTCGAGGTGTTCTGTAGAGGGTGGGGAAGCTTCATTAACCTTGTTTTCAGCAGAGGCATGTGTTTCCTTTGAGTCTGTCATTCCAGAGGCTGACCAAATGTGAAAACAAGCTTAGAGCTAACAAAACAAAAATTCAGCAAATCTCTTAAGGAAAAGTTGACATCCTACAGAGAACTCCATTCCCATCAAAAACGAACTGCCAGCTATAAAAGATTAATAGGGAACATTAAGTTCAAATCCACTTCTTTATAAGGAGAAAGTTTAGTTATAATTAAGAATATGTGCTTTAGAGATAAACAGACCTGGGTTAAAACTGTCACTCTGAAACTCACTAACTGTGCACTAAGTTAATAACAGCACTTGCTTGTTGGGCTGCTAGGAGCATTAAATAGATGCAGCCCATAAAGTTATAGCAATATAAGAAAGGGTTAATCAATATTAAATACGAGTTCCACACAAGGAAAGGGAATTCCCTGAAGTTACATCCTTGGCTGAGAGCAGGGTTAAGACCAGACTACCAGAAAATTGATTTTGATGCCAATGGTCTTTTAAATTCACTGAGATCATAAAACTATGGTTCATGGGTCAAATCTGCCTGCTGTCTAGTTCTATAAATAAAGTTTTATTGGAAATAGCCACACTCATTCTTTTAAATATTGCCTACAGTTACTTTGGTGCCGAGATTACAGAACTGAGTAGCTCTAATCTGCAGAGCCAAAAATATTTATTAAAATTCCTTTACAAAAGGGTTTGCTGATGTGACTAGGACTAGACTTCAAGTCTAGATCTCTTAGGAAGATAGGAGTGAGTTTAGTGCAATCCTTCCTCTGCTCTTGGAAGTGTTAATCAAAAAGATAAAGATTTCCTGGTGAATCTGACCTTCCCAGGTCTTAGTTTGGTGGCGTAAACAAAAACAAAACTACTCTCATTGAAGGGAGGTAATCTGTTTCCTGTAATGAATATCCTTGGGATTCAGAAGGGTGTTCAGAGTAAAAATCTTTATTCATCCTAGCCTTCCAGTTTCACTTAAGTCTCAAATATCTTTCCCCCTTCTTGCTTTCCACCAACTTGAGGATCTCTAAATGCATACAGCATGGCTAGGCAGCCCCCTTCTCCCATGCTGCTATGTGTTTTCATCAGGGTCAAGGAATGCTGGTGCTAAATCTGTCCTTAGCCTCTTCTTTGCACAGGTGAAATAACTGATGTCCTGATAGTATCTGGCCATGGATTCCATGCACAATGCTTTTTGCATAAAAATGAAACTGTGCCCCATCTCCCATGATTTGCTTTATGTTGTTCAACTGTTTAGAGTTTCTGTGGTGGCAAATAAAGAACTGTATCCTTTATTAAATTATTTTTTAAACTGCTTTGCTGGGAGGAAGAAAATCAGTGCTGCCCAGCCAGGAAAGATAACTAACCACCTCATCCCAGTTCCTTAAAATATCAAAGTTATAGGTGTACTTTCTTACACAATTACTATCTAAGTACTCCTCTGAGATTGCCTTTTTGCCAAAAGATGAGAAGAGGTCTTAATGCACTGACAGGAAAAAGAGACCCCAGGAAACTTAGAAAAGCGAGAGAAAGGTGAGCCATGTAACCAACCATAAGTAGCAAAGTCTAAAGAGCTACTTGGAAAGGGTATAAAAATATATATTTGGAAGAAATTGTGAATTCATCTAGTAAAATATATGATCTATAAAGTGGGTAAATTATTTATTAAGGATGTCTTTTATTGAGGTTTTAAACTCCAGCCCCTCAACCACTGCCACCCCTGTCATTGACATAAGGCACTGTCATATTCTGCAGGCTGATTTCTTCATCTTTGATTCCCCAGTCAGTAGATAAACACAACCAACATATTCACATCTAATATCCATGTGGCTATAAATGTCATAGTGATGGGGTAATTGTTGACCATCCTTGTAGGAGATCATTGGAGGAGATGGATAGTGAGAAGTGAGGGGGGAAAGTGTGCCTTTGGTACTATTAGCTTTGTGGTTTACCTGGTCAAATACTACAAGTGCTGAGATTATTTTTGGTCACCAGACTTTCATTTGCATTACTATGTGGTCTGCTACAGAAACCACAGAGTAATAGATTTTCCCACCAGTTTAAAAATGCCTTGGCCAGTAAAATCTCACAGGCTGCCTTTTAAGCAATCAAATTAGTTTGTAAATCTTGTTGTTCAATATATAAAACATTTTAAATTAACCAAATTTTAAAATCCACTTTAAAATAGCCTCTGAAAATTATTTGATATCTTTTTAAAACTTAGTCAATTAAATACCATAAAGCTTTGAAAACTACATTTATAAACTTAACTTCCTTTTCAAATTGGTTGATTTAACAAATGAGTACTTTTTAAGTACTAATGATTTTTAAATAAATTTAGTAAAACTGACAAACTTATCCATCTTATATATTGCAATACTGATGTTAGGGGCAGAAATAGAATATTGGGGGCTAGCTATGGTTATGAGAAATATTAATCATGCTCTGTTAACCATGATTGCCTTGTGTTGGAAGAAAGGACATTCTAACCTGGTTGGCAGTTGTGTGCCCCCAGCCCCTGGAGCCAACCCTGGACCTGGGAGTCAACCTTGGAATATGGTCCATTCTCATTCAAGAACGCCTATTATCATGGAAAGATTAACAACCTTGTTGCCTAAACAATGAAGTCCCACTCTAGCCCACACTGCCTACTTACCCATGCCTATAATTCCTGCTTCCCCATGTAATCTTTGTCTTACTCTATAAAAGCAGCTGGCTTATGGGGAGCTGCAGAGCAGATTTTTGTGGATGACCTGATGCTCTCCCATATTGCTGACAGTACTGGAATAAATGCACATACTATATGATTCAACCCTGTCTTTGCATAATTGGCTCAAGTAGTGATAGGAAGCACGGACCAATTGATTGTCTGGTTACACTGTGACTACATAACAAGATCTCAACCTGAAGACATAAGTGTACATCAATTACTTGAATAACCATTTCAAATTTATTTAAAATTATTATCTTGTTGTGGCAGAATGCACAAGAGATTGATCAATCAGCACTCTGAAGGAAAGTTTATTGCAATACTGATGTTAGGGGCAGAGTTTAACCTTTATTTCGCAGATCTGCTAGTCCAGGGGAATTCCGGACCCAAAGCCTGAACTGAACTCGTGGGGAGGCTCTGATCTATATATCTCCTCCTGTTGAGGGCCCCTGAGGGTCCCCACAGCTCCGCCCAAGTCAGTCTTGGCTGTACCGTGGGGGCATGCTCCACAGCTCTCCCCAGGTCAGCTGTGGTGGGGCCCTGGGGCCCTGCAGCTCCACCCAAGTCAGTCGGAGTGGGGAAGTAAGACTACAGTTTTAACCAGGTACTGAACTAGGTTACAAGTCCCCCCCACCCCCCATTTTCCTTTTCATTCTCAATTAACTAAAGTTCCCTATTTATTATAAACATATAAAATTACATATATGCATAGCCCCTTCTTTCTTTGAAATATAATTGACATACCTTAAATATTAAAAAATATATAAATTCATAACTTTGGACATATATTTACATATGTGAAACTGTTATGGAATTGGCGTGAAAGAAGACAGGGAGGTTCAGGAAAGCCTTTATTCAAAGCAGTGCTGCTGGTTCAGGGGACTCAAAGATCTAGATCCTGAACAACTTAGACAATGAGATTTTCTCCTTATATATTTCTGAGTTTCTTTGTTTCCTAACTACCAAGTTTCTGTGGTGGACTTCCACAGCCCCGCCTCAAGTCAGTTAGATGGTTAATTTAGAATTTTAGATTGTATCTAATGTCCATCCTGGATGGCCCCAGTGACTTCCTTCAAGTTAAGCTGTTACATCCTTGTATATTGGAAGTATTTAGGTAAATAGGTCTTGCAAGACCAGATAATTAAGGAAGGGGCAGTGACTTCATTATAGGCTATCAGGAATGTGCATTAGGGACACTGATTAACTAGGTACAGAGTCTGGCTGCTAGTTTCCTACATTCTTTCACAAATGGAGTTAATTATCGGCTAGCAAGAGTGTGCAGTAGAAGGCAGGTTACTGGAACAAATTCAGATTATTAGTCCCCCCAAAATGTCTTATGCTCCCCATCAAAACCATCACCACAATCAACATAATGAACATGTCCATCACTTCCAAAGTTTTCCATGCCTCTTTTGTAAAGAATCCTCAAAAGTCAATAATAAGAACAGAATTTCAAGCCAAATTGAAAAATGGGCAAATGATTTTGTTAGCGTAAAAACATTCAAACCTGTAAAGAATTTTTCTGAGTTTATTTGAGCCAATCTGTAGACAATTACCAGGAAGCAGAATCTCAATGTGAGGAGGAAACTGGTCTTGCAAGGCATGTCAGGCCATAAAAACTGTGAACAATGCACTGCGGGGGGCGGGGGGGGGGGGGGTATCACTGGCCCCAGACAGATCATCGGATATGGCCTGGGGACCCCCAACACCTGGGGGCCTTCCTGTAAGCCCATGAAAGGGGGAGGAACCATATCTGCAAGACAAAGACCCCAGGAGGTTATAAAAAGTGAAGCCCTCTGCATGTTACTT